CACCCCACTACCACTGTTACTGACTTGAACAACGCTCAGTTTCTAGTCATTCATGTTACGTCATCCAACTTATTCACTCAATTTCACTTCTACTTAATCTCTACCTGTAATTACCTCTGTTGCTATCCTGACCTAAGTTGTAACATTTTAGCCAATTATATTACGTCATCTAGTTTTTTAACTCAGTCTTACTTTAGTTGCTGTCTGATTAACTTTGTCTCTATACTGCATCATTCTTGTATTAACTAATCAATTATCTAAACTTGACAAACCTCATGTACACACACACACAAATATTTATATATAAATGCGATTGTACAGCTATGTGAATGAATTCGCCGAAAAGAGTCTCTTCGCTGAATGTCTTCTCTTTTTCATAAAATAAATAAATAAATTGCATAGAATTTTTCCTGTTCACTTTGTTTTAATCGATTAAAATATGACCTTTAGTGGTATTATCTACTCTCGTGAGAATTGAAAGTGTTTATAACCTGCTAATTCACCAGTTTCTACTAAACTCGAGAGAAATGAGATAGCCGTTCCTGCATTATGTCCTTATGTCTCAAGATGTACTCATGAAATGTTTACAATTGGCTTTCAACCAAGTGTCCTGCATTCCTCTAAGGAGGCAAAGAAGAAATATCAGAATGGATTGGTTTACGCTTCAGGTCAGACAGTATTGTGTCACAGGATTTACTGCCAATTTTAGCTGAAGATCTTGTACGAATTGAGAATATTATGCAATACACGCCGCTGAAAATTGTGTACATTATATAAACACTATCCAAAATAAAGCTATTGTTATAATTATCAGTCCAATTTAATATCCCCCCTTTGTCAAAATACATTCTAATGAAAAAGTACATACGCTTAATATGATGAAGTACTTCTTATCAATTAGAAGAATTTTTTTTCTAAAGCAATGTTTCATAACAATGAATCTCACCTATAAGATCCAAGCCGGCGTCCACGTGGAACAAGACAAAATGTTGAATTATACATCAATTCCCAATAATCGTACCTACAAGGAAAATTTAAACATACCAATGACCGGAAAAGCACCAGTTTTTAATAAATGAACAGTATTTCTTTTAGGGATAAAGATCATGTATTTAATTTCATGTAACTTTTAAATGCATTCAAATTACTCCGCAACATTCTTTGATTCTTTTAAAGTTATTGACTGAAAAAGTAAACTAATGCTGATTGGCTGTGTTGCTGCCTTAGGGAGAAAGACATAAAACCTAAATAAATGCAAAAAAGTGAACCCTAGGCGAACATACACAATTAAAAATAATACAGAGAAGTGAAGAGAAGGATTTCACAACAAAATAGAGATGATGGTAAGATGATTTTGGAATAACGAGTTGTAAATCATGCCGAATCAATGGAGAAAATCCAGGTCGTTATCCGAGAAGAGATCAACACAGGTGAAAAAACAAAAGATAGTTAAAGAAATCTAGTTACCACGGAGGAGAAACATAGGAAACAGTGGGTTGATCAATCCAAACCAACTGTCCAACTGCTAAGTCATCAGTTCACTGCAGTCACCGTAAACAGTTCTCCCCATCTATCATGAGAATGAATAATGTGTCACAAACTTTTTGACATCACACTAACTGAACAGCCGAATCTTCTCCCATTAATCGTATTCAGGCTACAAACTGATAGTCAGTCTATCTAAGATATTGGAGAGAAAAGAACACGAAGTTCTGTAGAGATATCTCTTCGGCGACCTCATTTATATACATAAGTTCACAAAGATACAATCATTATTTAATTCCACATAGTGACGAAGGTGATCCAACGTGATAATAACTTTCAATTTGTGATATGAAAGTTTGAAGGTGTGAATAAAGATTACAAGGGGCTCAGAAACAAAATAACATGGGATAAGAATATAGTTTTCAACGAATACAGGTGTGATTTGGATGAGCACGGAAACAAAAATTGAAGTGATAATTTTTATAGTTGAAAATGAAAAAAAGGTGAAGGGAATGAAAAAACAAAACTACAAAAAGTTAAACTTAACTAGATCCATGGTAAATGTAGATGTTGAACTAGTTCCCAGTGAACACATAACTCCGTCTTTTCTATGAATATGGCGAGAGCTTTTGCAGTACGGAGAAGTTGGAAACACACTGCCTTTGGTAGATTTTTGTTAACTCTGAGATATCTCCTAGACTGCCAGTCTGCCATTCATGCATGATTAGTATTAAAGAGCCACACTAGAATTTTCTGGTTCATCTTCAGTCACCACCCATTAAATCAATAACAGTCCACTACTAACCTGAAGCTATCTGGGATAGCTTCATCACTAATTACTCTTATTTGTAAAGAAATCGGATTGTAGTGAGGCTTACATTATATCAGTGTACACACTTGTTGGCTGCCACTTCAACTGAGTACCAGGCTACTAAAACATCTTTTGGTTTTTTTAAGATAAGTTTTACCGATTGAATTTACGACCTTATTATAATTTGCGTATAAGGTGATCAGTGAATTAAGCATTCATGAGTTCTATGTAATTTGCGACTCATGTCATTTAAGCATTCAAACTAACCTCATGACACCAATACGTGCTAATTGTAAGTCAATTTCAATGAAGACTGTATCACGAACCAACATCAGTCAGAGAACCATTGAAAACTAGGGAGCACTGTACAGTTGCTTCGTCACAGTTTGAGACTCTTCATCAGCACACCCACGACGCCATCAGAGATTGAACCCAGGACCTCCTGATTACAAGGTTAGCTACTGAATGGATGTCCTGAAGTTTTAATGAGAATTTCTGGGGAGTGGGGTTCACCGTGTGAAAGTGAAATAAATGCTCACCCAATGCCATTGGTTGAATATATCGTTACATTACGAATTGACAGTTACGATCCACGGGTCAATGAACTCCCAACCAAGTAGCTGAGTGTTTAAAAAACTGGTCTTGTAACCTGAAGGTCCCGGGTTCGAAATCTGGTGGGGTTGTGGGTGAGCGCTGCTGAAAAGCTGAAGATCGGAATGAAACAACTGTGCAGTGCTCCCTGGTTTTTAATAATTCTCCGACTGATAGTGGTTTGTGACGAAATCTACAGTGTATCTAATCCAAATGCTTAAAATACTAAGTTGTGATATCATTGGTTATTAGATCCGTTTCTATAAATGCCCAAATAAAACCTAAGCCACAACTACATCCTAGGTAGCTTATATTATCCCTTTACATAACCGGTATCACAAACGGGGAGTAAGTAGACGTAAAAATATCTTCCAGTGGACCTCCCTTCATCAAAAATCTATTGAAAAGGGGCGGTCTTAAGGCTGACTGACTACCCTTGTTAGACGCAAAGTCATGGTTGATGCGTGCGTTGACATAATGACCTGATTGGACAATCCTGAATTGATTTATCTTCAAGGATTTTCAAGGTCATGCAATCAATCAGATATCGATTATGCATTTATGGTTTAAAATTTCCGTTGGTGTGTAAACGATATTTTTATATACTCTGTATTGTGAAGAATAAAAGTTGCTATTATCGCGGTTGTTGCAGTTAAATCTGACATCTGTGTCTACCTCACTGTGGGAGATATTTCCAAGTGATCAACTGGCTATAGTGTCACGTCTGGAGGTGCACTGTAGTCAAGTTAGGATAGCAACCAACAAATCACTCCATTATAAGAACTGGTAACACAATAATACTGATAATCCGATGTTTCATCATTCGAGGTTTGTTTCTGAAGGGGACAGAAGCACTAAATTTTAGCAGTGAACATAATACATATATTTCATTTGTATATGTAGGCTCAACAAACCAAGACAACAGAAGTTTTAAAACAACGGTGCACACCAACAATAATAGAAGAAAGTCAAAAATACAACCTACGTGTCGTATAGTGCCATATCAGTGGCACATCGTTTATCAGCATATCGTATCCAATCTGTACCATGACGACAAGTAGTCAACATAATTATATCTTTTCCATTATGCAAGTGAAAAAGTATATCACGTGAAGCTGATCCTATCCCGCTAACATAACGTTTACCCTAGAAAAAAAAATAAATATATTATGTTTAACTTTTTTGTTATATTCAAGGTTAAGTAATGATGGTTGTCATAAGTTAATCTTTGATAAGACAGTAAATAATTTTTCAAATCATAAGTGCAAAAGGTAGTTAGAACAGAAAAGTCGGTGCTTATTAGAAAGGAGTATATTGCATCAGAAAAAAAAAACATACGTATCGATTCATTCAAAATTGATGAGTGCTGACAATTCCAGTTTCATATTTCAAAACCTAATGACAACATAAAGATGCAACTGATTAACTTACTTCACATAGTAAGCTATGAGACACACTTTATGCACAAGAAATGAAGGTTGGCTAGCTGGATTCAACATAGAACTTGGCACCGAAGTGCACCAGTTCGAGTTGCCACGTTCCAAAGAGCACACAAACGTAGACAAGAAGATGGGTGAAGACAATCAATAGAGTTTTGATAAGTATAAGAGTGAAACAGAATGAGTAACGGTAGAAAGGAATATGAAAGATTACAGAGACTGAATACATCTGCGCCATTGACAACGATTTTGGACCATGTCACCTATTGTCTCCAGCCATTGATTCTTACAGTCCCGAGGGCGGGCCCCAACCCGGAAGTCTGCATCTCCCTACCTGACTCAGTTTAACGGTCAAGGATTTCATGGATTGATGTTTCCATGTTTTTGCTTGGCCACCACTTACTCTTTTCCAACCTGCACCTATATCAGCTAGTAATGCCCGTCGGCAGGGGGAGGCGATGGTTAGGCATGCGCAGCACGTGACCTAGCCATCTCAATCTATGTAACTTTATAGCCTCGTCGATTGATTTTCCCTCTTTGCCCGACAGTCTACGGCTGACGTCAACATTACTTACCTTATTATACCACTTAACGTGAGAAAGAGATCGTAGACATCTATGATCAAAAACAGTCAACCTTTTCATGTCTTCAACTCGTATTGGCCATGTTTCAGAGCCATAGAGAAGGACGGAGCGAATTGGTGAGCAGTACACACGTTCCTTGGTTGATAGTCGGATGTCACGCCTACGCCAGAGATGGTGCAAGTTAGCGAAAGCAGCCCGAGCTTTTTGTATCCGTGCTGAGATTTCGTCACCAATCAATCACTCCCACCAGGCGGCTTTTGGAACCATAAATGAAGGTACGACCAGATTACTCAAACCGAGGATTGCCTGAACGTCTAGGCACTTAAGTTCATGAGCTACATCATCTCCACAGATCGGACATTAAATGTAACCATTAGTGAACCAAATGATCCTAGTCTAGATCGTATAAAAAGTTACTGGTGAAGTAGTTTTCGATTGTCAAGGTTTTTTTTGGGAAAAAGAACCAGACAGTTGTGCCACACTATACAATTTAAAAGTGAGACAAAGAGAGTTGTACATCGGGAGGTTATAGAAGAACTGCTAAATTTGTGAATTCCCTAGAGAAAAAAAAACGGAAGGTTCAGAAAATTGTTCATATTCTCAGTGTTCAAAAGAAATAATGTCGGACATTTCAGTAGCTGAAAGATTCTTAAATACATTGTTAGATTGTTAAGGGTAATTGGCAGGATGTCTTGAACCTAGGTTTCGTGCTTGTTGGTACTCGCCAACAAGGTGCATCTGCAATATAGAGGACGCTCATGTCATTTGACCAACTAGTAACCTCCTTATACGTAATAAATGAGAGTTAAGCGTGGTCAAATCAAAACCTGGTGTCAATCCCAAAAGCTGTTGAGTGTTGGCTTGAACCACGTGGGTTCCTAGTGGAATATAGGACTACAGCAACACATTTCCATTTTGTCTCGTTCTCTGCAGTCCTCTTTAGTTGGTCCCACAAGCGTTCATCCTCTCCCCCCCCCATGATCTCCACCATGGCACACCATGGTGGAACCATCTACGATGTATCATACACATGCATACCATAAAATCACTAAATAGGCTGAACATATTTTAGCAGATTTCAAGAGGACTATAACAGAAAAAATCGTATTCAGACGTATAAATGCATTCGATAATATAGACATCCAAAGCAAAGCTTAATTGTCCACATTGACAAACACAATGCATAACTGTATTCTTGCTTCAAAATTACCTTAAAACTTAAAAGATAAGGCAGATCAAGACGACCGCGTAAATGTTCACTGGTCACTACTAAATGTTGTAAGTGTTTCACTCCAGATCTTGTAGGATGTTGAGGATGGATAAGTGGTAGAGAAATATCAAATTTTGGACGAAAATGTTTCGTGGAGAAACTGGCTTTAGCCAGTATTGCTTGACCTAACCATAAACGATACTCGTCTTCATGATAATATGGCCAAGTGCCAGCATGTAAATTGAATATTAAGTGATTACGACCAGCATATTCTGAAGACTGTTCAGCAGTGCCAGAGAAGGAGTCGGCTTTTGAAGAAAATAAAAAAGAGAATGAAATGAGAAAAAGAAATTAACAACAAGAAAATACATAAATTGTCTTAAAGTACTAGTTTGAAGGTGATGAACAGAACCTGCTTACATATGAGTGCTACTATTCCGTCAAGGTATTCAGGATGATGATTTCTGGGGAAATAGTTTCAATGACAAATGAATCTTACTTAGGAATTATTTAGAAGTCAATGGGGGCATGAAACAGTTCTCCAACGCTTATATAGTTTACTGCATTCGACACTTTTCGCAGCATTCTTCATTTTCACACGAATCATATTCCCCTGAGGTTCTCAATTTGAATCAGAACTAACATTTTCCGATTTCAGTTAACGTGACTCATTCACATATTTAAAAAGAGGCACTCATGATGACTGAATCTAATAGGAGACCCAGAATTGAATTAAGTTTTCTCTTTAATTCAATCGGCGCTTATTTTCCTTAAGTTTATTGCCTTAAATGAAGTAGCTAGCTCACAGTTTTCAATCGACATAAAATAGGAATCAAAGATTTTCAACTCAATTGGCTAAGCAAATATAATGATATGCGCCAGTCACACTAACAACAGAGAGAGACAAACGATAAAAACAGGGGGCGTCGGTGGCACAGCGGTTAGGACTCTCGCCGACCATGCACATGGTCCGAGGTTCGATCCCCCGCCGACGCACACCTGATATCTATGGTCGGCCTGCTAAATTTGGGCTACCGATATCACATGCTGAAATTTCATACTTGTACCAAAAATACTGTGTGGAATCAAGCTATAATAAAATTTTTTTTTAATTAAAAACTTTCAATCAGCGAATGACCTTAAATGCGCCACTCACATGAAGGGGGCATTTTTGGGTATGGAATACATCTGTTTATGAAGAAAAAAAGGCATAAAAACTGTATGAGTGCTACAGAGGATACCTTTCTCTCACATTGTGATAAAAACATCTCCCAGTTTAGCACAGGAGTATCAATGGAAAAGTTAGACCACATAAGATAGATATATTCATCTAAACGAATATAAATGACATCACTTTCGCGATCCTTTAATGGCTCTAATCCTGTTTTTTAACCTTCCCTAAAATCCTTCGATAGAACTGGTGTGGGTCCCTGTAATAGTGTGGTGAGAGCTGGCTGCTAGCCAAATTGGTAGATGGTAATTTATGTCAGTGTTTACGTCCTCAATATTGGTCGTGAGAAAATATGGACAAAGACTGACTACTCAACAACCAACCACAGCAGACTTTGCGTAGGCGGATGCAGTTAACATATAGATGATCTGACATTCAAGAAACAGAAACAAAGAGAGGAAAGATTAACTTTCAGTGAGAAACAAACAATCAGAAGACTGTGTTTTTCTGCTAAGAATAATCTATGATAATGTGCATGAAAACCTATAAATATGTGTTGATTTCCTTAGTAAACGATCTGTTGCCTGGCCTTTGTCTTTTGTCGTTACAATAGGATCCACAAAATCATTAGAATGGTTGACTCTGTGGTAAATGTATTCAAGGGATGACAAGGGGTTATAACTGTAGAGAAGAAAAGACCGAGTAGGCTGAAAGGAATGTTTATTTGGTGAAACGTATTGTACATAGCTAAATTTGGTATACCATATTTTCAACCTGCCATTTGCACATCATTTACCACATCCTTGACGAATTGGTCCAATATGATCACATTCGATAGCTTCTTGGATTCTGCATCATATGGCAACATTCTTCTCATGGTTCTCTTCTTTGATTACTCTTTCCAGTGTGCCAAACATATTGTTACTTTTCTGAATTCGTTTCTGATATACTACTTATATCAGATTATAAGTAGCACTCACCACATAACCTTTCCACTCATCTGTGTATTATAGATCCTTGTTTCACCAGTCGAGTAATAATAGGTATTAAAGTACTTGACTTTCTATCTGCTATCCTCTGGACGAATCATATAAAACAATCACCCAAACATTAATCTCTAGTTCTCAACCACAGTTGAACTTTTTCTTTAATAAGACAGTTTCATCCACATATACAACGACACTTCCTCCTCTCAATTAGGAAGTAAGCTTCGCCATTTTCCAGGATGAGATATCTCTGAAGTTCTGGTACCACTGAACTTTTGATACAAGACTGTTTTCAGTTTCAGCAGTTGCACCTTTCACAGGTTGTTTTAAAACCGACTAATTACAAATATATAAAATCTGGGTTAAGGACAAGTGAGACCTGCCAAAAAATGTTTCCACGAAATATTAGCATCATCAGTAAACGCAACTGCGTTAGAGCAGGTATTTGACTCGGATTAAGCGGAATAGAAGCTTCAACTCATGTGAATAAAACTCATTGGACCATTCAAGGTCAATGGTGAGGTAGTCAGTGGTGCTTAAAGTTTAACTTGGCCAACAGGGGAAACAAATCTAAGCTACGAAGTGAAACAACACAGTTGAGAAAAAACGCTGTGATAATGAATGGCAATTAGTTGAGCATCTCAGCTGTTACATAAGTCACAAGTAGTCATTTAAGACTAATAGTTACAGTGAACAGTGTTCCTATGATCTCTAACTCTCCCTTTCTAGGTCTTTCGAGCTGTGTTCAAACTAAGGGATTTATTTAATTCAGGCTTTTGTCATCAGTTGAGCTTATGTCTTATCAGTGTGGAAACGAAAGCCAATAAGGAATTCCCTTTAGGAGAAAAACCAAATGATAACTAACTCCCTGCTATTCTGGGAAAAACAAACATTACATCCAATCAAGGTATATATATAATTTAATTAACGTGATAGGGCTGATAATTCACAGGATAACAGGTTGAAATAATTGATCTAAAGAAGCTAACTGGTTATTCAGACAAGAGAAGTCAATGCGAAATCAATTATTGAACAGAAAGGACAGATATCGATGTCCAGAATGCATTCAGAAACTGTCCCTAGGAATATATCACTTCCAAAAACGACTAATTCAGAACAAATTTAGTTAGCTCATGAAATAGTGAGGAGTCATGATCAATGGAGTTCACTAGAGGTCCAGTGTGAGGGAAAATAATCACCGACAACATTGGCTAGTGGTCGCGTTAAAATTGCGAATTGGTAGGAGTTGGAATTCATGCGTCATTGGATCGTGTCCCAGTGTCTCAATGGTCCAAAAGCTGGTCTTGTGACCAGAAGATCCTAGGATCGAATTCCGGTGGGTGCGTACCGATGGTGAGTCCCAAACCAGGACAAAACAGCTGCCCAATACTTCCTGGATTCCTAATGATCCTCTAACTGATATCACCTCGTTATCAAACCTATAAGCTCATAAAGTGTTGAACAAACAAAATTTCAATCCTCATAATATTAGGGAAAACAAACACTGCATTCATCAAAATCATGAATTCATGTAGTGCAACCTATTACTTCACTCACGTATCTAGGGAGCATTGTCTCAACCACAGGAGAAACGGACGGACGAGGATGTCAAATCGAGAATCGAGAAGGCGAGAAACACATTCATCAATCTGAAACCAATCTGGAATCTTCGTCACTCAACTCAGCATCAACAACAAAATTCGGATTTTCAATACAAACGTCAAGTCAGTCAGTTTTTCTGTACGGATCAGAAACTTGGCCAGTGTATCACCAAGAATATTTCCAACAGCCTGTTGCAGACCTTTTTGAACAACTAACTGTCTTCGCTCTATAATGAAGATCAGATGGCCGGAAAGAATCACCAACAAGAAACTATGGGAAGAAACAAAGCAAGAACCAGTCACTCAACAAATATGCAAGAGAAAGTCGAGATGGATTGGACACTCGCTGAGCTGAGGAGGCCGTTGAGTGACATTGCGCGTCAGGCCATAGCTCGAGTGGAACCCGAAAGGGAAGAGACGAGTGGGACGTCCAAGGGTGACATGGAGGAGATCGTGTGAAGAGGAGATGAAACAGTATGGACTAACATGGATGCAAGTGAAAAGTACAGCAGAAGACAGAAGCAAGTGGAGGTGTGTAGTTGAAGCCCTATGTTCCACTAGGAACCCAAGGGAACAATAATAATAATAACCTATTTTAATAAATGACAAATATTGTATGCAGACAAATAAGAAGTGCTATCTAATTGTCCGGCTTCATGAGCCATTGAATCGGGTCCCAGTGGCTTAATGGTATACGAGCTTGCCTTGTAACCAAAAGGTCCTGGGTTCGAATCCCAGTGGGTGCGTACTGCCGATGATTCCCAAACTAGGATGAAACAGCAGCTGTCCAGTACTCTCTGGTTTTCAATGGTTCTCTAACTGATATCAGTCCGTGATCAACTCGTAAAACATAACTAATCCTTACAAACCAAACTATAGAAAATCCATTAGTGGCAACACATTAAATCTGGCCTCCATACGATTGGGTGGATGGCGACTTATTATCAAGAAAATAAGAACTGGAGGGATTAATAAGTACATAACGAGAGGTCATACCTGGAGTGGTAAAACGTAATGTAGTCTTCAGCAGTTTTTAGTTACCACAGCAACGTAGGGTAGCAATAGTGGCTGGACTTGTTTCGTTTGTAAATACAGTTGCGATTATTCCAAGTGAATTGCTATGTTTGCGGCTGTTTGATGTATTCGATACTAAACAGGTTTTAGCAGGATAGACAATCGAAAATGATTATAGTCTGTTCGGACCAGGTGTGTTAATATTAAATTGTCAATAATTTTCAATACACTTATGTTCATTCGGACTGACGAGTGTTCCTGGGGACGAAAAACTACGTTTTAAATGCAAAGGTGGGCATAAATAGTTCCACAGGAGCAGTTGAACTGACAGGTAAAGCAAGGGTAGCTAACCTAGGTATTTCATTTTTCAGGATCGGTGTCACAAATGAGCATGCAGAAAAGACAAGTTGCAATTTGGCGGCGTTAAAAAATGTCCTGGATAGATAACATCGCTCGGGACAGGTTGGATTTGGAAAAAAACAAGTCATACACAGATCAAATGGCATCAATACGCACCAACATCAAACACAGCCTAGAATAGCAGTAGTCAACTCTTTACTTCATATTCATCGACCTTGGAAAGGCCTTCAAATGTGAAGCAATTTGGAAAGTGCTTCACCAATACGAAGTGCAGTACCGTGAACATTTATAAACTTGATTTAATAACAATACAATGATGTCACATATCAAGTGATTCGCAATGGGAAGCCTTTGAAGTAAAGACAGGTGTAAAACAAAGCTGCTTCCAATCACCGATGACACATTTTCGATAGGGGCGGATTGGGTCATGTGACATACAGTGAGTGGGGAGCGAGAAGACATGCATATACTGGACTGATAAAAAGACTACAGAATATCTGGATTTCATAGATGATTAATGTCCCATGTCTCAAAAACTGGAAGATTTACAAGCGAAAACCAACAAGTTTGCAGAAGGAGTAGAGAAGGCATCCAACCAATAACAACAACAAGCACCAATCACTACCAGTGGGAGGAATCTAAAAGAATTCTCCTCTTCCACTTACCTACCCACCCAGCATAGTCCCAAATAGATACTGCGTGGATGAAAATATCAAAACCAGTCAGGATTGGATCGGAAAAGCAAGACAGGTGTTCACTACTCTGAAATCGGTATGGAAGTCTGGAGCACTCAACATAAGGAACACGATTCCGATTTTTAACACTAATGTCAAGTCAATTATTTTGTATGGTTTAGAGACTTGACGAGTACGTCAAGAAAAGCATTTCCAACAGCTGCCTTCTTCGCTCATTATCGAGGAACAAACGTCCAGAAAGGATGAGTAACAAGGAACTTTGGTGAGAGACCAACCAAAAACTTATCACCCAACAAATATGCAGGAGGAGACAGAGATAGGTTGGATACACTGTAAAGTGACCGTTGAGTGACATCATACGTCAGGCTCTCTTTGAATAAGAAACAACCAGTTAGACGTAGGTGTGAGGGTGAAATGGAGATCTTGTGAAAAGACTATAAAAGCTTGCGGGTAGTCGTAGAGACGACTAAAAACATTAGAGAATCGAATGGGATGGAGATGTGCTTCTGAAACCTTATGTTTCACTTGCAACTTAAGGAACGAATAACAATAATGATAACAATAATAATAAAAGTCCTCTAGATCAATTCCTTTAACTTGTAATTAGTGCTTCTCTAGGTACACCTCTAAAGTATATTCATACATAGAGTGAGTTGTTTTACGCAGATGTAGCACACTCCTTCCGTAGCCTCGTAAGAACATGCTTTTTATGAACTTATCTAGATGACTATTTTCGGTTAGGATATTATACTCAGTGTATTCACTAAGCGCATTCTTTAGTTTATCCACATTATTGTCTTCCAAACACCAAGTTCTATCAATTTGCTTTATTTAGACATAGACTGAACAGTGATTGACTACTGACTACTTATACTTTAGACAGAAATTTATCTATTATTATTATTATTATTATAGCTCCCTTGGGTTCCTAGGGCTTCAACTGCACGTCTCCACTTGCTTCTGTCTTCTGCTGCACTTTTCACCTGCATCCATGTTAGTCCACACTGCTTCAGCTCCTCTTCACACGATCTCCTCCATGTTATCATTGGACGTACCACTCGCCCCTTCCCTTTCGGGTTCCACTCGAGCGGTCTCCTCAGCTCAACGAGTGTCCAATCCATCTCCACTTTCTCCTGCATATTTGTTGAGCGATTGGTTCTTGTTTTGTTTGTTCCCATAGTTTCTTATCGGTGATTCTTTCCGGCCATCTGATCTTCAGTATAAAACGAAGACAGCTGTTGATAAAGGTCTGCAACAGGCTGTTGGAAATATTCTTTGTGACACACTGGCCAAGTTTCTGATCCGTACAGAAGAACTGACTGACTTGACGTTTGTATTGAAAATCCGAATTTTGTTGTTGATGCTGAGTTGAGTGACGAAGATTCCAGATTGGTTTCAGGTTGACGAATGTGTTTCTCGCTTTCCCGATTCTCTATTTGACATCCTCGTCTGTTCCTCCTGTATTTGAGACAATGCTCCCTAGATAAGTAAGTGAAGTAACCTGTTTCAAATCCCTTCCATTGATGGTGATTGGCGCTGGATGTTGTTGTTGTTCCTGCTGTTGTTGTTGTTAGTTCATTGGTTATTTTCATAACCTCCGTCTTGTCTATCTTCACCTGGAGACCTGTCTTTGCTTCTTCTTCGGCCAGTTTGTCGGTTTTCGCTTGTAAGTCTTCGATTTTGTGTGATATCAAACATAAATGACCCGCGAAATCCAGGTCTTCTAGGTTCTTCATGTCGGTTCAGGATATCCCTGTCTTCTCGTTTCCCACTGTCTGACGCATAATCCAGTCCACCACAATTAGGAATATCATTAGTGATAATAGGCACCCTTGTCTGACTCCTGTGTTTACTCCAAACGCCTCGCTGGGTTTTCCGTTGTGGATCACTTGACATGTGCCGTTGTCATACAGCTGTTGAAATTTATCTATACCACATAAGAACTAATTTAAATAAAAGTTGTTGTGTTTTTTTTGGTTTTTCGTTCACTACTTTATTTAGGTGACTAGTTACAATTACTAGTCATCATGTACAAAAACGTTAAAAACAACAAAACAACTAATACTTACGATTGACGTCATTTTTAGGTAGAGAATTCCAATATGGAAGATTGACTAGCTCATGAGCAATATACTGGCCAAAATGTGGACTTAAAGGATCTCGATCCAGAGTATCCAAACTAGGAATAAAGATACAAGCTTCGTGTGGATTTGATGTAAGCAGTTTTGAGTTATGCAAAGCAGTAAGAATTTTTTGATAGGTTAAAGATGGATTAGTTTGTCTCGATGAAGGAGGATAAACATAAACCTGTGAAGGAAAATAGATCAAAAGGTTATATATGCTGTACTGTTATATATATAACACAAATGGTACGCTAATTCATGGAGCACCCATAGCTGTTGGAGTCTGGGGTGGTGACTGGCTTTCTGTGGTGTTCACAGGGATATAAGGTATACGACTGGAAGACATTGGTGGCATAGGTCTCGGAAAACTACTGGAGGATTGTAACATACGATCAGTCATTGGGTTTAAGGATGATAATCCTGCATAGCCTAAACCACCATGCTGGAAATCCTGAGTGATCACATCAGTTGGCGGGTACATATTTTGAGAATGGATGGATGGAACGACGGATGATGAAACCTGTGAACAAAGAGCAGGCATTGATCAACACATAGATTTGAAATCCAACATATTATGAGGATGACGAGGTCCGGAACCTTCCATTCCCGTAGCATTGACACGAATACAAGAGTTGTTTGCATATGCCTGCAAATGATCGGGATGTAGGGGTCCAGTGAATGGGACTTCTACGGGTACACCTGGAGGTCCCATATATTCAAACTCAGTTGGATTTAATATCGATCCATTATTACTTGGCCGAATGCCAGGAGGCATGTGAGGGTCTTGAGCTCCAGAAGCTATATATCTGGAAGCTGCAGCAGCCGCTAACAAATGAAACGTATGAGCAAATAAAGCTGCAGACTGTTGCTGAGGGTCGCTTACAGTAGATTGAATACTTTGATTTTGAAAATGTACAGGAGAATCTTTTGGCTGCATAAGAGATTGGTATAGACCACTAGCGGGTAAAGTTTGGAAACTGTTAGCACTCTGAGGTTGTCCATTAATGGATGCTCCAAAAAACTGTGGTCCAGCGTATATATAAAATAATAAATAGTAGTCATTATGTATTCAGTTGCCTATTTTAAAAATCAAGGGACACTTGTATTCATAAATCTATTGGAGCAAAAAGACAGTCAATGATTATTTTACTCGGTGGAATTTGATCAGTTATTACAAAAGAAAGAAAGATGTACGTGGATCAGCTGAGTGACACTGACTAAGATGAGGTTTCCCTTAGTATGAGGGTAATACCACCAAACGAGTGAAATATATGAATTCCCTTAGACAGTAGCACCCTATGTATATACTTGAATAGATGGCAGAAGTCTAGCATTTAATGTAAGACGACGTTAATACTGTGGTATGTTGCATAACGACCCAATGCACGTACATACACTTGATAAATACCAACAATCATCACATGGACCAAAGGTACTATATGGCTGCTTAAAACTCGATAGACGGCGGTGGCTTCAAACCTACAGCCTGGCTGAAAGACGAACAGCTAGTCCAATGAGATACAGAATTGTAGTGGGATGCAATTTCATAACACAATTTTCACTCGATTTGACAGAAATTTAGTCTATTTTTACTAGATAACATTTCACAGACTAGACAAACTGTTGTCTGGGATGACTCAGGCATCAGGTAATGTCTAGGAATCAGAAACACTTCAGTTAGACTGGTGGAAATCATTGATTATTCCAGTTTATAAGAAGGGAGATAAGTTTTTCCAGTGATAATCATAGGGGCGTATTATTATTATTATTGTTCCCTTGGGTTCCTAGTGGAACATAGGGCTTCAACTGCACGCCTCCACTTGCTTCTGTCTTCTGCTGTACTTTTCACTTGCATCCATGTTAATCCATACTGTTTCAGTTCCTCTTCACACGATCTCCTCCATGTCACCCTTGGACGTCCCACTCGCCGCTTCCCTTTCAGGTTCCACTCGAGTGATGGCCTGACGCGCGATGTCACCCAGTGGCCTCCTCAGCGAGTGTCCAATCCATTTCCTCTTTCTCCTGCATATTTGTTGGCCGATTGGTTCTTGTTTTGTTTGTTCCCATAGTTTCTTGTTGGTGATTCTTTCCGGCCATCTGATCTTCAGTGTAGAACGAAGACAGCTGTTGATAAAGGTCTGCAACAGGCTGTTGGGAATATTCTTTGTGACCCGCCAAGTTTCTGATCCGTATAGAAGAACTGACTGACTTGACGTTTGTATTGAATATTTGAATTTTGTTGTTGATGCTGAGTGACTAAGATTTTCAGATTGGTTTCAGGTTGATGAATGTGTTTCTCGCCTTCCCGATTCTCGATTTGACATCCTTGTCCGTTCCTCCTGTAGTTGAGACAATGCTCCCTAGATAAGTGAATGAAGTAACCTCTTTCAAATCCCTCCTGTAGGGGCATAAGCTTATCTAATATAGTATCTACAGTTTCGGCCTGAATAATGATGCCTGGGAAAAACAAACCGGGGAAACCAGTCAGGTATTAGACCAGGAAGAGGGTATATTGATCATATTTTCATCCTTCGACAGATTCAAGAAAATAGGCATACTTAGCAGAGTCCAACACTTGGCAAATTTCTTGACCTGAAGGTGGAAATCCACTCTGTCGACTGAGAGGTGTTTTGGTAATGTTTGGTCGTGAAGAGTGTTCAGAAAGTTTATTGCATTAATCACAGGACTCTACTTGAACCCACGCATCCAGGTAACAGCTTAAGGAGAGCTGTCATCTGAAGTAACGACAACCAGTGGTGTCCGTGAAGGATATCCATCTTTTTGTTTAATTTCATCATAGATGCACTAATGGAACTGACCTTAACTGAATTCAGTGACTTAGGGATAAACTTCTTAACATGGAACAGTCTTGTTGACTCAGAATGTGAGGATGATACTGTTCTCCTCAGTGAAGATGCTGATTAAAATGCGGGGACTTCTGAACATCTTGAACAGAAATCTTTGGATGTTTGGTATGCAATTCGCACCTGTCAAATATAAGATCATGACATAGGACTGCATACGCCAACTCCTACTCTAAATATAGACAGTGAAGTGACAGAGCGTGCTGAACATCCCATTAACTCTTTATGATTTATAATATCCAATAAAATTATAGTTTTTCCATATTACTATTCTTTTTGACTCATGTCTCTGTTTATTATCTCTCTTTTGAATCTTTCCTTACTCTCTCATCTTGCTTTGTGTGCTACATAGGGTGTGGCAACTCCAACTGTTGCACATCTGTGCAAAGTTCTACGTTGAAATCAGTCACTTATTTGGGGAGTTGCATCAGCCATAACTGACTGATCGTTGACGAATTCTCAGCACGAATATAAAAGGCTTGTGTGGTATTTGCCAACTCACGTCATTCCTGGCGCAGACGTGATATCCAGCTATCTATCAAAAGATGAGTACTAAACATTAGCAGTTCGCTTTGTCCTCCTTTATGCCTGTGAGACGTGGCCATTGAAAGTAGAACACATGAAAAGGCTAGTTGTCTTTGACCACTGGTGCTTGTGTTCTATCTCCCATGTTAAGTGGTATATTATGGTGAGTAATATAGAGGTTAAGTGTAGAGCGTTAGGTGAGGAAGAGAAATCGATCGATGGGTTTGTGAAGGTGAATCGATTGAGATGGCCAGGACAAATGTTTTACATGGCGACCCATCGCTTCCTCAATGAGCAATGTTAGCCGGCACACCAAAACCTGGTATCAATCTATGGAAACTTTGACAGTTGATATGAGCTGCTGAGGAAGGTGTAGACTATCTGCTTGGGATCCTCAGTATGCTAAGAACCAATGGCTGGAGATCGGTGGTGATATGACTCAAAACCGTTCTCAATGGTGCAGATGCATTCATTCTCTGTAAGCTCCCGAATCCATTAAACCCCCCTTTTTCATGTTATTTCTGTCCATTATATTTCCTTTGAATTTATTTTTTCTCTTTTGTTTACCTTTGTCTTCTGCATGGAGTGTGGCAACTTAAACTGTTGCACTTCCATACAAACTCATATGCCGAAACTCAGTCAGTCCGTCAAATACCCATTACCTAAAACCGTATTTCGGCAGAATGTGACAATGACCAGTACAACTTGTTTGAAATATCATTTAGCATACATCAGTACAATGCTGCCTGCTATGCAAAATGAACGGCTTTAAAGTGTAACTGAATTTATAAATGAAGACTCAAAAAAGCTGATCTCTGTAAGTACCCAGCTCTCACATGTCCAAAATTCGAATACCTTAAGAGTAACACATTCAAACCCCATGTAAGCAAACAGATCAACATAAAACTTCCACAGAAAAGTGTTTGTGTCAATTATTACGCTTCACAAAAGAACAAAAAGACGAAATGAGCAGTGAACGAATAATACTACAAAGAATGGGCATACACTTCAAACGACAATAAATGATTAAATTAGAAAAAAAATCAAATTCTAATTTACTAGCGCTGAGATGAGCGAATGAAGCGAAGTGTGAGAAACTTCAAAAGTTCGATGCCGAAAACTACTGACTACGTCGAACTGTACATAAATTAAGGCTGACATTACAAGGAAAATATCCCTAACCACTGTACTAATGGTAAAAATTGCAGTTTCCAGGCATGAAAAAGGGGAAATTCATAAAAAACCAATGACTACCTAGACAATATATAAATATAGCACAAAAAGCAGATAATAAAATTGAATGGAAAGCTTAATTGGGTCGTTTCATCTCAAAATTATGAATGGAATAATAGTTGTGTATGAAGTAGGGTAAATCCAACGTGGCATCTGACCTTCATTATGTTTTACGCCTTTTGAACAACATACTGATAGTGGATATGGTCTGCAGTTATAGCGGAAATAAGTTAGCATGTTTGTAGGTGTAGTTCTACCTGCCAGACGACATTGAAAACTCGCAATACTGAGCTCGAAACACGGTAATAAGTGATAATGAATTGGTAGACATAAACCCCTCTCGCTGTGTTGCTCTACGCCTGTGAAACCTGGCCTCTCCGAGCTGAGGATGTGTGGTGACTCTGCGTGTTCGATCATCGCTGTCTCCACAGGATTGCTTGCGTTCGATGGCATCATCGCGTGAGTAGTTCCGAAGTTCGGCGGCGTGTGTTTGAACACAGTGGAGATCACCATTCATTGAGTGTCGTCATCTGGAAACACCGGCTCCGGTGGCTTGGACATGTGTTGCGAATGTCATCCCAGAGGCTTCCATACAGGTCTCTGTTCGCTAGCCCTGGGACGGGATGGAAAAGGCGGAGGGGTCGTCAACCCATGACGTGGCGTCGTGGGATGAAGGATATTTGTGCTAGATTAGCATTGGTTGGTGCGTCACGACTCCTTGGTTGGGGTCGGCGAGATACCTCGAACCGATGGATCGAAACATTATCGGATATGGCCAAGAATCGTAATCCATGGCGAACGTGTTGCAATTTCCTTCTTTCTTCCCTTCCTGATGATAGTTAACGAATACTGTTTGAACTTGTTAAACATGACTGTTTTCCTACCAGATGAAGTTCCTTATCCGTTTTCTACTT